ATTTAGACGGGTTGAAAACGGGATCAACGTATCAGAATCCGGGAAATTCCGATTTGCTCGAATTGCCATTTTAGAAAGAACATACTTTATGTTTTTCTGTTTTAGGCTTGCGTTGATTTTTATTTATCCATTTTAGAGTTTTTAACAATTGACTTTTTCATAAACATCTATATATTTAATGAATTTGACACCCAGAAAATGGAAACAAGCTGATGGCGAATATTGTTGCAGAAATAATTCCAAGAGGTTTTTATTATAGATTAAATACACAAAAAAAATAAAAGGAATGTAAGACTAGGACATGATTTCTCATCGGACTTATTCAACATTTACGATTGAGGCGATTTTCAGACGAGTGAGACAATTTTGAGAGATTTAGGAATTCTACCAGGATACATTATTGGCGGCCAGTCTTAACAACATAAGATTAGAAAATGTTCATAGCGCACAGAAAAAAAAAAAAGAAAATACAAGATAATAAAGGAAAGGGTGATTAAAGGACTAACCATCAATTTTAAGAAATCGAAATGTATAAGTCTCAGAAAGGGGCCAATTACAAATTGGATATATCAGAATGAATCAAGTTCACAAATTAAAATATCTAGGAAGCATTTTAACAGAAATCAGAAATATGACATTGAAATCCAATGGTGCATTGCAATAGCGAAATGTGTCTTCCAAATGCTAAGCAAAATATTAAGAAGTAGGCAATTTTCTTTAGAAACAATTCAACGAGAACTGTACTGTTACGTAATATCGGCCCTTCTATATTGACAATTTGTGGTGGACGATCTCCTCACAAATGAAGAAAAGACTGTAAGTACAGAAATGTTGCTCTAAAGAAGGATGTTGAGAATACCATAGACCGAACATGTGAGCAATGACAAAGCTTTAGAGAAAATTGAAACAAAAATGACACTCATTCTTAATATCACAAAGAGCCAAGATGTTTTAGAGAATATGGCACTCACACGACATATTGAATGAATGAAAGAGAGTGGGAAGCAGTTCATAGCTTATCTAACAAATCTATGTAAATGAATAATAGGCCAGGGATTGGGAGAGATAGCAAAACGTCAAATCTTAATAAGAGCCACAAAGGGCAGGAAGTTGTGGAGAGTTATGATCGCTCACAAACTGAAGACATTGAAGAAGACGAAGATTTTAAACTTATATTTTAAGTTATATTACAATTTTAAATTTCGCGTATTGAGTTGTTTTTGATTTTGTCGATGACACAGTTTAGTAGGTTCAGTTGGACAGCCTCTGTGAGAAAAAGAGAACCATTACACAATTCACTCCGCTAGAAATTTGTAAACGGCTGTACTGCTTGGCATTCGCACCGGAAGCTACAATACGAACATTTGGGTGTCAATCTGATGACATTTCAGATGATTTCGAAATAGTTGGATGACACTAATAGTGGTTCGGAAAATTCTTTTGGATTGTTTTGATTGGATAAGATCTTTCGAATTTGTAGGTGGAGGCCTCACACTTATCATGGAGGCCTACATCAAGTGCCTTGGGATAGAAGTTCTGCCCTGGATCAACAGGGTGGCTGATGGAAGAGTCTGTGTCTCACAAAAGGACTCATGCCACACACGCAGAAGAACCCAGTCATGGCTGTCAGGCAATTTCTGTGATCACATCACCCCTTACTTTTAGATATCTAACTCCCAAGACTGCAACCCCCTGTGTGGACTGCAGTTGAACGAGAGAATAATTAAACTCCTTGTAACAACAAAGGTAACAGAAGGCAAGGATTATGGTAGCATTCACCAACTTTAACAGGGAGAACGTCCATAAGAGTTGCTGAAGATTCGGAAGTCATCTGTAGGTTGTGGTTGAAGCCAGTGACAATTTTATTGAATAAGTTTACTTTTTCGTATTTCAATATATTTTTGTGTAATACTGGTAAATATATCTGCTAAAATGAGATGTCAGTTTTATTTTCATTTTTGCGTCATTTAGACAAAAAATTCTTCAACGCACCCTGTATATATTGTGAATTTGCGTGGATTAGGAAATATCTCCTACCCTTTTTCGGCATGCATAATTTTGCATTTAATATAAGCTATATAATGCATTTGATATTTAAAATATAATCAAAGAAACGGAAGCCTGCGAATGATACATTTCGCTTGAAGGGAACAATTTCTTAGCCGGCTTTTTATATTCCTTATTTATCAGGCTTTGATTTGCATGTATTTTAATATTTCTTATATATTTTTTATCTGCTCTAGCTGTACTTGCCAATAGTCAGTGTTTCAAAATGAATATCTAGTGATATTGTGATCGCAGAAATAATTACCTACCTACCTATGATATGAATTTTTATATGTTATTATACTATGTCAGTTTTATTTGATCTGCATATTTACATTTGACACAATCACTTAAAGATCAACGGATAGATAATGAAAATTGGCTGGGATAGCCTTTGAAAAAATAATTTCCTATCTATATAATAAATGCGAAAGTCGGTGTGTCACTGTGGCACACGTTGTTCAGCTTTACTCTTAGTAAATTTTACTATTTTGGAATCAGGTTGATTCTGTAAAAGAATTAAAAAATTCCAAACCGGATCCACTCCCGTATTCATGAAATTTTGGATTCCCAATTTTCATTATTTTTATGTTTTTGGTTAGCTTCTTATATGATTTGTGCGACAGTTCTTTTCTGTACAATAACAATATTTATAACTTGGAAATAAATATGGGAATAATCAAAATTAATTGCGAAACACAGCGAAAGTTACCAATGAATTAAAAATATAATTGTTTGTATAGAAAGGAAGGATCTCTGTACATCAAAGTGTCTATAAATTAAGTGGCGACAGACGAATTTACGCTGAACTTTTAAAAGAAAAGCTTAAATATTAATGCAATACTTAAATGCAGCAATCAGTTTTGAGTTCTGTAGTTTATTGTTGCCTATCGCATCAGTCCCTTCTTACCTATTGTGATGAAGGCGCAGTCAAGAACCCTCCACACGATCCACCTTACATTCCACCCAATAGAGAGTCTTTAAAGCTAGTCTACTATGAGCAGTTTTTTCTTGTTTTAATTCTATTCTATTTAAAATTATTGTACACCATTTTTATTTAATGTGCATATTTATACTTGTCAATTATATACAGGGACATTGTTGTAACTAAACAAAACAGCCGTTAGTTAATGAAAATTCGTTAATATATTTCTTGTAGAAAAAAAAATCCCGTCCTCTTTCTTATATATGTACTTGTTTTTAGGTATTGAATTTAACTATTATTTTAAATTATTGTACACAATTATTATTTGAGGTGTATAATAATTTATCTTGAGAACTTCGACGTGGTATAATAGCCAGTAAGCTTGTCTCGTTAGATCCATTACGGCTGAATAGAGAGTTCGATTCTCACTGCAGGCCCCATAATTTCACCCTTGCGCCACATCTAAGCCATGCTTAGAAAATCACCAGAGCAATTCGATGTGGTGTAATGGTTAGCAAGATTGTCTCATTAACTCAACTACTACTTATTAGTGAGTTCGATCGTTACGGGGTGCCACATACTTTGACCTAAGTGCCACATCTAAGCTACACTGAGAAAATCAAACAAACTTGTAACGTGAGATCAATTACAACTGAATAGTGAGTTCCATCCTCACTCGGAGCCCCCATCTTTTCCTATGGTTAGTGAACCTCTCTTGCACTTCGAGGTGGTGTAATGGTTAGCGAGCTTGTCTCGCTTGATTAATTACGACTGAGTATTGAGTTCGATCCTCACTGGGTTCTCTATACATTTCACCTAGTGCAAACGTAACTTTCAAGGCATAGTGTAGCAATATGAGTGAGCTTAGGTAATGTCAAATTGAAAATAGCTGGAACTGACGGAAAAATGGATTCAGAACATTTATTTTCGATTGATGGTTGTCAGTAAGTGAAGTGAAATTCAATGTACAGAGCAAGAGAAAGTCACGGAAGGAAAATACATTATCTTTTTAGACGAAGATGACAAAACAAAAGAATAATCTATAAAGCTGGTCATCCTGCGAAAAGGCACACAAAATGACGAAGCGGGCCTCGGAGAACGGACAAGGAAGACAACCGCTGAAGGTTACAGCTCCCCTGACTCGCTCAAGCCTCGTTTCTACTTCGCTCGCTTACAGCAGTAGGTTACAAGCCACAAACAAAATCTGGTCTATTGTTGTTTGTTACTCGTGAGTGACGATATGGCCGAAGGATAATTTTTAAGCCAGAAGCGTTTAACTGAGAGAAAATGCACCCAGTGAACAAACCTTGTGTCTGGTAGGGGATGAAATGTAACAACAGCCACTGGGAAACTTTGATTACGTCATCAGCAGCACTAGGGTAGCGTTTACAGGAATAATAACGCTACTGCATTCATACACATTTATTGAATTTAATATACCGGGTGTAACACCAAAATTGTCTATTTGATAGATTAAATTTTGAACCGTTGTATCTTAGAAACGGTTAAAGTTATCTTACTGGTATTTTTCGATCATAAACGAAAATTACATGTTTAGTCATATATATATATATATATATATATATATATATATATATATATATATATATATATATATATATATATATGTATGACTTCTCTGACCTTCTAATTTTCTCTCCTGGGTCTGACACAAAAGAATTTTAACCTGCATTCTTTTTAGCTCAATAACTCAAAGGATTTTTCAGTGATTCCTACGACAAATGGTGTCAACATGGCTTAACCTCTCAAATGAAACTCAAGAAAAAAGAAAATCAATGGGTAAATTGTCGCCATTTTATAGCATTTACAGGAATAATAACGCTGTTATATATTTAACTTTATAAAATTCTTCTTTTATATATATATCGCTATCAGCGAAAATTGTAGCCAATAAAACATTAACAAGTGGGTAATGAAAATTCGCTCTGATTCAATTTCCGGAAATAATTTCCTAACTGGTCTGTACATCTTTTAAAAATGATTGTATACCATTTGTATTGATGTGCGCTTACGGCCCTATAGCTGTTGAAGCACCAGTTCCCATACGATCACTCGAAGTTAAGCAGAATCGAGCCTTGTCATTACTGAGAAGGGTGGCCAATTGGGAATGCCTGCTGCTGGTGTGCAGGTAGTATTATGAATAATCTTTTTGAATTTTTAATCGGAGAGCTGAGTTCCATTTTCGGATGGGTCCGTTGGGAAAAAGTATTAAGCCATCTTTTATCTTGACAAAAAAAAATGATTCGACTATAATCGGGATTATTGAGTCAATGCGTACGATCGTTTCCTTAGCTGCGTAGTATGTGGCTCGCCCTGGCTACATACATGTTTGAATTCTAATGTTTGTTTCTCCTAGACCGGCTACCACCCAAGGCTATATTACTTAGTCAGTCGTGCTATTTCTCCTTAACTTGGGAGGGAAGTGATGGTTATTAGCCCACAAGAGAATGTAATGAACTGAACTTGAATACTGAACTCTCCGCTTCCTCAATCTTAGCCGGAATTCATTACTCCACCGTGTCTTTCGACAGCTACGTTCAAATAGCAGACTGGTATCGAGAAATTATTATTATCTAAAAAAAAAAAAAAAATTGTTGTGGAAATGAAAAAAAAACTTCTTCAGAATATGACTTGGACTCGTCCAAATAGCATACGTATTGACACTGAGAATCATCAAGAAATAGCTTGACCGCTCGCGGAGCTCTGAGTTCTTGTCGAAATCTTTGCTTTCGAGCATAGAGGAACCCAGACGAGGCTATGCTGAAGGGCAGAGATTCGTCTGGGGGGGTAGACAAACCCGACCCTGTGTATACGGGGTATACAGGGAATTTTTGCCCGAGAATACGGGCTCGGATTTTCCCCACTTAAAAATTGGCCTTGTACCGCATCCAGCCTCGGGAAAAGTTTGGTAAATGCCTAGATTGTCGGGAGCGAGCCTTACATATTTACAACAGAATACAGTAAGACTACGTTGACTCCAGGCGACATTGCATTTCATCATTGGGTTATCATCATTCAATGGAATGGAGACATAATATTTTTCTGGTTTTAAATAACCTGTAAATGGCTGTTAAGTCGTAGAAATCGAATCAGTCAATATATTAACAGTTTTAGTTGCAATGACAATTGTTGTCTATTAATTAGTATATTTTTCTATTGTTGTCTTTATTTAAACGTGTCATTTCGACCCATTTTAACGATTTAAAGAGAAATATCTCTTAATTAAACTTTGCTTGTAGAAATAATTTCCTCTCTTCTTTTAGAAATGTACTGATATTCATGCATTGATTTTAATATATTTGATATGATTTTATATCATTTTGTTTGAGGAATATAATTAAACTTTCCACCGAGTTTCACTGACAAATATAATTCACGAAAAAATAGTAATTGTATTAGTAGTAAATGAAGATTCGCGATGACAGTTCATTGTTTATTTTGCGTTAGATTTTATGTTTTGAAAATTACAATATTATGCGATGCATATACAAACACTTGTCAGTTATTTTCACTATAATCGGGCTGCTAGGAAATAGAGAATTTTGGAACAATAGAAATTGATAAATAATAACAGGGAGACCAAAATCTCAGCGTCTCTACAAATAGATGTATATTCAGAGTCGCCAGGCCATAAAGTCATATTTCGACCAATCAATCAACAACCGCCCTGATAAGCGTATGAACATCATAGTGTAGCTAAAGAATCAGAAACAAGATTTGTTTGCAATCAGGATATAAGGTTACCGATTATGGACCAATAAAAAAATCAAGCGAAGTGTTATACTTACACCTTAATACACCCGACGAAAAGAAAAGTATGTTAAATATGAATTATTCTCAAACACATTTTTATAATGCTATGTCATGCAATAAATTATATACGAATGTCACTGTATACTGTAACTATTTGTCCCACACAGAGGCATTATAACATATGAATACAATAAGCATCATAAAAGGGGAGAAAAGTGAGAAAGTCTTGCTTATAACATTTCCCGAAGAGAAAACAGCCAGGCAGGTGGTGTCCTATATATTTCAGGCAGGGTAGAATGGTTTCCATTTTTCGTCTCTCAACTGCAGTAGGCAAATATGTCTTCATGCATAGCACAATACAATGTAACTGGGTTTCGATCCTGCACCAACTGGCGTCACTCACCGGCTGTCACGTGACCCTCGTAAATTCATTTTGCCCAAAGGGAAATAATCGTTCTTTTCATCTCTGCAATGTGAAAACTGCAAGCAGACGGTTAAAGCAGATTCGCTGGGATACCGTATATCATAATTTCCAATCATTTTCATGCATGTTTTTGCATTCCATGTCTTAGTTTTAAGGTATTTAAAATTCATTTAGAATATTTTATATAATGTTTATATTGAAACTAGTCCCTTGAAATGACGGCAAATTACACCGTATTTTATTATACATAATACAACTTCAGTATAATAAGATTCTGTGTTCCTGAAGCTAAAAAAACAGTGAACATGTTACACCGTTGCGTAAAAAAGACGCCGTATGCGGCTATGCCCATGTAATTTTGTTGTAAAGTTGTACTATATTATCAATTAAAATCCACATAAATTATCGCAACATTTTTCGATTTAAAATTCAAGCAAGTACCACTGTACACCATATATCGATATAATTATGTTGGGGTTGTTTAATTATTTATTTTACATTGTCGAGTCGTCTGGAGTTTTCAAACTGAAAATTTCGTGTCAACAAATCGAGGAAAATGAAACAACAAACCTCACAGCATGGAATTATCAACCCATTTTTCAAGAGAAAAAAAAACAACAACAAAGTCCATAATATATACAAGAGTTAGGCCTTTGTTGCAACATCAAAGTTATCAAAACATTTCATTTAACATTTTTTTTCATCAATTTCGGTGAATATCTTGGCTTTTAGACAAAAGGCGTTCAATTACGCTGATTGCCGAAGAACAAAATATTGTCGACATAACAAATAGGTTTTGTAAACAATTGTTATCAACAAATGCCTACTTTCTGTTTTAACATCTATTGTTTGAGTGTATTTGCAATCTTGCTGTTTCAAATAAGAGGTTTTTAAATTGTGTAAAAATTCTGAAGACGTGTACTTGTGCATAATACGACCCCCAATTTTTGCCTTTAATTTTCATTCAAAGTGTCTCGCATTATACAGAAGAAAATACAGTATCCGTCCTTCACTCTTTTTCCTTTCTACCCAGTGAGTTTCTGAAAGAAACATTTCGTCAAAGTTAAACGAATCAGCTGCAGCAACAACAGCATGGCTGGCCAGTTTCTGACTTTAAACGAATCCTTTCCAACAACAACAAATATGGTCAGTAAATCTTCGCTAACGATTTTTTCAACCACAGTTTTTTTCTTTGAATCAACGATTGAAAAGCATTTTCTAAACTACAGCTGTTCTGTGAAGCAACTAACCAAAAGACTTTAACTCAGCACAAGACTATTTTAAATATTTTTTATTCCTTTGACTTCATTTACATATGTTTGCAAATACAAACGATTTATTCAACAGGCTTATAGCCATGTTTTATTTATTTTCATTTTATTCTTTGGACTTCTGATGTTCGGATTTTTAATATAAAATAAACAGTACGAAAGAATTACCTACAATGTGTTTGTATTCTTGATGATTCAAATGAGAGTTTTTTGGGTTTTTTTAAGCTGGGTAAAAACTTCTAAATGCGTGTAGTTGTGTATAATATGATCCTTCTTTTTGCCTTTTATTTTCGTTCAAATTTTCTCATATTAATACGGTAGTTGCAAATGTAGACAAATTTAATGGTGATTTTTGTATATCGCTAGCAGATCTAATTATATACCCTTTGTTAAACATGCATTATATTTCACGTATTCACTTTAATATATCTGACATTACATTATTTTTAATTTAAATATATATTTATACTTAATATTTAGATCCATTGAATTTCATAGTCCCTTAAAATGCAGAAGCTCGTTAATAAATATTCGCTGAGGTAACGCTCGCAGAAATAATAACATCATCTAATTAAACATGAACATTTGCATGTATTGATTTTAATATATTTAAATATATTGCATGCCTTTTTATTTGATGCACATTTTAAAAGTACTCAGTTACCGTTGTGGCAAATTGTATTCTCTTAAATCATACAGTTATTTAATGCAGATAATACGAGAAACGTCGCCGACAATAACTTCATACACTGCTTTATATTGTATTTCAAGTATTGATTTTAATGTGTTTAAAATTGTTTCACATCATTTTTATTCGCGATAATTATTTATACTTTGGTGTTTGTTTTCTTAAAAGAAAATTACATATACACAATAATTATTTAATGAGATTTGTAATGAGATATCTCTTAGATATATAAATTTCTGTTTTGACATTTTTCATATATTATTTTAACACATTTTTAATTATTTTTTTATCATTTTTTTTATTTTTATATTTTTACACCCAGCTAATCAGGTATCCACATCTAATACAATAGTCACTTAAAGAACAGGCGCCAATTAATAAATATTCACTGTGCTAGCAATTGCCGAAATAATTTTTTACTCCATCTTATTGATGTAAATGTATTACAATTATTGAATAATTTGTAAAAATTTACACTTGACGGTTACACACAGTGACACATGTAATCCAAGGGGCAGTCGCTGAATATAGATTAGATTAAATGTGTTTACTGACGTAATTAACTACCTGGATTTATATATATATATATATATATATATATATTTTGGAGAAACTTATTTTTTAAATATACTGAGTTTTAATGGCACAGAAAATTCATAATTCAACTGTTTCCAAGGATACAGGGAGATCCAATCATTCAGTCAAGGGGTGGTAGCGTGTTCATTTTTATTAACTTTTGTTGTATCAGTTATTAGTTACGTTCGAAAAAGGGGTTAAGTTTAGTTAGGTTAGGGGTGTATTTTTCAACGAATTCTGACATCTGTTAAATGCATGTCGTCTGTTTTTTTTTGTTTTGTTTTAAATTTTATTGTTAACGGCAAAAAATTCTAACGGCATTTTTTTCTCTTTGTATGCTTAAAGATTTTTGGAGGATGTTTAGGTTAGAATAAGTTTTATTTAACTACAATTTTAAAATATTTTAAT